AATATTGAAAATATAAAAATCTCTAAAGGCCATATATAGATTGAAGACCTCAGATATACTTTTAGATGGTTTTATTTCTATAGAAGCTTAAAAGAAAAACAAGTAAGCAAAGGCTACAGTCGAGCGGGGCCGACCGTTGAATACCCTACAACACTTTAATAAACCATACAGTTTATATAGGCGAGATACTCGAAAGAATTCCACAAGATATCGTGACAAATAATAAAAGAAGACCATCAGGTTCCGTTCTCTAATTTTCGAATAATAGCAACTTAAACTAATTTGCTCATTTCCAATTTATTGGTAGATGTTGCACTTAAAGGTCTTCCTAGATCTGGAACCTATATTTCCCAAAGACCCATAATCTCTCAGAAGTGGCAAAAGATTAACATTTATTATCGGTTTTTGACTGAAACGCATCTATATGAGATACAGCCATTTGACTATATTCTTCAACGAAATCAGCGTTAACGAAATAGTCAGAAGTGGGTCTTTCCTATGTTTGTGAATTCTCCAAAAAGTCACTGGAATAGACTATTTTGTCTACAAAAGTTGGCAAACTATTTCACACATTGAATATTTTTGGATGGCCATCCAAAACTGCTTGCCTTTTGTAATGTCCGGTAACCCACATTCAAATGTGCGTGAGAATCGGGCGATAATTACGACCTGCAGACAATTTTGCAGTTTTTTGGCCCATTTCAACCCCTAAATATATGGCGATCATCTCCAAAAAGAGTAGGCTTCTATTCTGACCCTCATCTTATCCCCATGCAAAATTTCGTAAGGATCGGGCCATAAATGCGGACTGTATATTATATCCTGATATCATAACTACTTAGTTTTGTTAGCTGTAGAAATATTACCAAATGTTTAATTCAAAATGAAAATATGCCAAAAATATGAGAAAATTGAAAAAATATTAGAAAATTTTACAAAATCAATATTTTCATCTCTAGAGAGATATTTTTATGCGATTTTTTAGACGTTTTTTCTTTCCTGCCAAGCGGCCATTCTGAATTAATGAGAACTGTCGAAATCAGTTCAGCCGTTTTCGACATGTAAGAGATCTTTCAAGCATATCTTCTTTGATAGACATATATATCGCACATATTTTGCTATATATCCGATTTGTTGGATGTTAACATCAATGTAAAGATCAGAAGTAACCTTGTCATGGCTTTATGATTTCGCCGGGATTTAAAATATTCGCGGTTTAATGAAAAATTTTGAATTTTTTCAACACAAACGATATGGTCTATTTTACCCGCTAAATATTATCCGATGACCACCCAAATTGGTAGGCTTCTTCCCCGCCCTAAACTCTAGCTACATGCGAAATTCCGCGTCGATTGGTCTATAATTGCGAAATGTATAGCTACTGCAAAATCCGAAATTTTTTCAGTATTTGGTCCATTTCAACCCCTAAACATTTGGCGATCATCTCCAAAAGAAATAGGGTTCTATTCTGACCCCAGACCCACCTTCATTCTAAATTTCGTGAAGATCGGGCCACAATTGCGACCTGTAGAGTGATTACAAATTAACATGGACAGACGGACAAACGGACGGACGTACATACATAGCTAGATCGACTCAGCTCGGCGAGCTAGGAAGATCCATATATACTTTCCTATGTGGGAAACCAATATTTCGAGGTGTTACATAATTTTTGGGCCAATCAAACTTATAATACCCCCAACACATAGTGTTGTAGGGTATAACAAACATTCAAAAAAAAAATCATCTATCCATAGTAGGCATGAAGAAGGTTTTCTATAGAAGATTTCTGGACTATGAAGTTTAAAAAATGTTATCCATAGAACCTCCGAAATCCGAATCTTTGTTCTCCGATATTCTCAACGGTCTCCGAAATACGAAATAATTCCCCAGCTCCGGACATGAAAATTTAGCTTGTTGACGTTTCCACTGAGTTGAAAATGGGCCTCATTTGTCATTATCATTTGTCGTGATAGTTTTTCGACGGAGTTGCACATCATTTTCATGCATTTTAAGGACCCAATCAGCTATGATTGAGATCTTGAACTAACAGAAGTTTTGCTGTAAACGTTAAGCCTATAGTCATTATGCGAATAAGGTTTAATGACATTTGCGACATGCTCAATTTAAAAGAACAATCGTGGGTTGTCTGCAACACTTTGGGCAATAACAGCTATATTTTTGGATGTCCTTGTGGGACGGCCACGGGTTTACTCTCAACACTCTAATTTCTTCCGTCAGCTTGCATTTTTCCAGCAATTTCTGTAATGCGTTTCGCTCATGTTTCCATTCTTAGAAATTCTTCTACTTCTCAATTTTCTCAGATTCGAAATCCAAATCACACCAACCCAACTCGTCGACAAGACAGCACATGCGGATTGCCTCCGTAACGACACAGACTATTTTCCACTTCATCCAAGGAAACAACACTCCTTGAATTTCTATTTTCCACTTCCGCCAACATCATCAGACCACTGGCCCAAGTCTCAGTTTTCAGTATTAGCCTGTGACCATTGTACTGATTCCGGTCTTAATACTAACATAAGTTAAATAGCTTAAAATTAACTATTTTAAAAACTAAGAGTGCCACACCATTTCTGCGGATACTACAAACCACAGATGTATATTGAAGGGCCACGACTTAGAATTATGTTCCGAAAAATGGAATTATTAAAATGAGTCCTTTGAAAAAAAAAAATACTCATACAAGTACTTAAACATAACCTTAGGGAGCTGGTTGGTGTTGTACCCCAGGTTGCTCCAGCCCGAGGCTAAAAATATCGTAGGGCTAAACAGAAGATCTTCGTACAGCAATCCTAGCTCGTTCAGCATGGTCAAAGCACCTAATCATACCCAGAACACATTTTTCACATTTTTTAATGGAATTATATGAAATTATAAACAAGGAGTTCTCTGTCAGTACTTTACCGCCTGAAAGAGAATTGTTAATATAGGTCCACGATATCGTTTAGCCCCCATATAATGGTACACAGAATATTCGGTATTTTGATCATTTTAGTCACACTTTTCAATGGCATCTGAAATTCTACACAAGGAGTTCTTCGTGACTACTTTACTCCATGAAAGAGAATTGTCTGTGTAGGTCCATGATATCATATATCCCAAATATAACTGTACCTCCCGATATTCGGTATTTTTATGATTTTAGCCACATTTTTAATGGAAATTCTACACAAAGAGTTCTATATGAGTACTTTACCTCCTGAAAGAGAATTTTCTATGCAGGTCCAGTATATCATTGTATAGCCTCCATTCAATAGTGCCCGCCGATATTCGATATTATTATGACTATGGAATTGGTTTAAAAATTCACAAAAGGAGTTCCTTCTGAGTACCTAAACCCCTGAAAAAGAATTGTCTGTTCACGATATCCTATATCCCCCATACAACTGTACCTCCCGATATTCGGTATTTTGATCATTTTAGTCACACTTTTCAATGGCATTGAATTTATATGAAATTATATGAAATTCTACACAGGGAGTTCTTCGTGACTATTTCCCCCCCTGAAAAAGAATTGTCTATGTAGATTCACGATATCCTATATCCCCCATATAACTGTACTTCCCGATATTCGGTATTTTGATGATTTCAGCAACATTTTTTATTTGAATTGTCTGAAATTCTACACCAGAAGTTCTCTGTGAGTATTTTACCCCCTGGAAGAGAATTTATTTGGGTATGTATAGGTTCGTCATCCACGATATCCGGTATTTTGATGATTTTAGCCACATTGTTCAATGGAATTGGTTTAAAAATTCACACAAGGAGTTCCTTCTGAGCACCTAAACCCCTGAAAAGAATTATCTATACAGGTTCACTATATCGTATATCCCCCATATAACTGTACCTCCCGACATTCGGTATATTGATAATTTTAGCCACATTTTTCAATGGGATAGTCTGAAAATCCACACAAGGAGGTCCCTCTGAAAGGGAATTGTCTGTAAGGTCTGGGTTTTACCCAGCACCCACATAACGTTACCCCGAGATATTCGGTATTTTCAGGATTTACGCGACATTATTTACCGAAATTGCGCCGAATTCCGTATTTGGAGTTCGGAATCGTTACTACAGCCTATCACAAAAATTATCCAGCTCCACGTCTTCGTATAGGTTATAAAGGGTTTCATTTGAGCGGTATTTTTCCACGGATTTTTTTGAACATTTTAAAATTCCTTCTGGATGTTGGAGGGTATAAAATGTTCGGCGCGGCTGAACTTAGCTGCTTTTTACTTGTTGTATTAAATTTTCAATATAATTTGGCAAATTTAATTTCAGATCAAATCCCGTCACATCTTCCAAATTTCATTAAAATAGAATATACATATAGTGTTTGGTGATTCAAATAAACGAAATCGGCCGAAAAATTATAGGAGCTAGATACTAGAATCTTAACCGATTTTAATATAATTTGGCAAAATTATTTTTGTTCCAAATCCCGTTACGCATTCAAAATTTGGGGACTGTATCTGAAATCGACCAATAGATATGTGCATATTAAATCTAATTTTTTTGGGAGGTACCTCCGATTCTAATGCTATATCTCCAGTTCCAAGTTGAATTTCAAATATTTATAAAGCCTTTGTTACTTTCAGGCGAGGTTGTAGTTTACTTGGAAATTTTCAGGAAAATCTTTGCAGCGGTTTTCTAGTCCATCAATTACAAACAAACATACAAACATTTTCCTCTTTTATAGATATATATAAGTTGGATTCCATTTTAGTCTTATATATACACATGTCCTGTAGAATATTATCCAATTTTGGTAATGTCACTTTTTAGGCATTTATTGCACATTTTATATGGAAATCCTATTTTTTAAAGACCCAAACTCTTTTTTTTACCATTTGTGCAAAGATTTGTGTGGTATACTGTCTCCATGTTTATATTTCTTGCTAAAAGTTTTTTGTTTGTAATAACCCAAGCACACACTCATCACATTTTTCTCTCTCGCTCTTCAATCTCATTTCAGGTCTGAATACAACTGAAACAACAAGAAAGAATATCAAAATACGACAGACGACATGCTGTTGAGTGCAGAAATTGGTGAAGAAAGAGTAGACGAAGTTATTGGGAGTGCGAATAGTGCCTCCGCCAACAACGCCAGCAATCATACCACAAAGAGTGGCAAAGACAACAACGACATCGGCGAAGACAACGACACCAACAACATTGCTGCCGTCGCTGCCGAGTTTGACAACTATTAAAGTTTTAAGGGGCTGAGAATAACAAACCAACGAGACCGAAGCACAACAGAGACAAAAACGAAGTTGTTGGCGAACGAATGAGACAAACACGATTGCCGCCATCTACATCGAGTTGGCTCAAAGGAAATTCAAACTGGCTTCGTCAGTTGATTACCGTCCGCCGTCGTCGTCGTGTGTTGTTTTGCGAAAAAGTGCCCAGTGTGCGTTGTTGTGGAAGTTCGTCGTCGCTAAAGCGTCTTGTAGAGTACGCGCGACCGACCGATGTCAAGGTGATGCGCGTGTGTATGCCCATATGTAATAATACCAACAACAACGCAAAAATTGTCGTTGTCGTCGAAGAAGAAGCAGCAATATCTTGGTGATAATGCCTGCTCGGAGTGTAGTGTACGACGAAAAAAAAAAGTAAAGAAGTTAGTGTTGAGTGTTTGTGAGTAAGTTCGTGTGTGTGTGTGAGTCTGTGAGGAGGGGATACCCATAAAAGAAATTACAAGAAAATAATAAAAAAATTAAAGATCACCCGTTTGACAAGTTGTTTATTTCGACATAACCCCGGAAGAATGATAAATTTTATTACTGTCTAACGTTTAACGCCCGGGCGAAAACCACAAAAAAGGAAGAAAGAAAAATCCAAACAAAAAGAAATACCCGAAATACAAAAAAATAGAAATAAAAGAACCACACACGAAAAACAAAAAAAAAAAAAAACACACAAAAAGCAAAAGAACAAAATTAGCCACCGGCAACAGTTTTGCCCAACCAACCGCGCACACATTAAATTATAATAGGACCGGCTTAAACCGGACCGAACGCAACGCAAAACAACGATTCAACCACATTGTGGCTCGTTTGGATTAAACTTGAAATCGACACAGAAGAATACCCTAACCATGGGCACCAAATCGCCGGGTGGACCTCAGCGCTGTCGTTTAATTCTAAAACAATGCCTGGCCATCCAGCTGTCCAAGCCGGGTCACACACTGGACGATTTCTGGATGTATGATTCAGGCTATATGATTTTCCAGGTAAGTCAGCAATGCAACACCCAGTATGTGGGAGCTTGGGCGCCACTAAAACACCACACCACAGCGCTTAGGTGTTTGGGTGATAATTCGTCGCAAAACAGTTAGTTGGTGGGATATGTTGGTGCGCCAGCGCACACCGTTCATTCGTTTAGCCATTCTGTTTTTCTTGTGGGCAAGGTTAGGTTCTCACATTAATTTGTGCTGTGTTTGCATTTGATTAGTTAAACAAATACATATGTATTCGCATGTGTGTTGCCTGCCAAAGCTCTATGCAATGAGGTGCGTCGCATAGCGTCACCAGTAATTATTGCCATTACGTTGTGTAGGCCCATAAAACCACACTAGACCATAAAAGTTTTGCCTTCTTGACTGTTCCAAGAACAGACGTATTTTTTTATTGGACTTTAATCGATGACTTTGTGAAGCCTTGAAGTTTATTTGTTTCGCTTAATTTAATGGAGTGAATTTCTTGAGAAAAACAAGTTTAAATTCTTCGAAAGCTTGAAGTAATTAACTTAGATAATAAATTGTGGATGGATGGAGGTGGAAATGTGATAGATTGCAATGCGGCATGGGTTGTTAGTCAATTAAGAGAAATTCTAAATAAACTAATGATCGAATAAGTAAACGATTTACCGAGATCGTGAGTTACATATATTCGATTTTTTCGACCAGCATCGTTGCATGTTCGTGGGTTTTTGGACAAAAACAGACATTAGGGAAATATATGATGTTAGAGCAATATTGGTTTACTTACTGATAACGGAATATCACAAAACAGTCATTTTTATAACCTTCACCATATTATGGAGGGTATATTAACTTTGTCATACCGTTCGTAACTCCTCGAAATGCTCATGTCATACCCAACAATTCTTGATCAGCGTAAAATTCCAAGTCGATTTAGCGATGTCTGACTGCGCTCCTGTCTGTCCGTCTGTCTGTCTGTTGTAATCACGCTATACTTGGAACGAATTGAAATAGTAGGCTAGAATGTTGCACATATGTGTATTTTGCCAGTAGGCAGATTAAGTTCGTAAATGGGACATGTCGGTCCAGTACCTCCCAATATTCGGTATTTTAATGATTCAAGATATATGTGTACAAAATACTTTGTACATACTTTTGAGCGCGGTTGAGGTTGAGGCGCTGGGAAAATCTAGCAATAAAATATAAAAACTCGAAAATTACATATTTCCCAGCCGCCATAAAACACCACAGTGAACAATTCGGTGATCTTGTGCGCTGACGCATACGATATCGATGCGCTAAGCAGATGTACAAGACGACTTGAATAAAATGTCAAGCAGCCCTGCAATGTTCTCCATTCAATATTAGAATAGATAAGAATAATTGTGTGACTGCGATTAGGTTAAGTTAGATTAGTTTTTGTAGCACTTAAGAAACATATTTTTGAAATAAAATCAGAATTGAATCAACAGCCAAACCACTCGGTTGGTTTTCTTTTCTCATTTAAACATTGATCCTCCGAGCAGGATGCGAATAGAGTATAGTGTTGATAATCGAAGAGGGAGATTGGACTCTATTCTCGTTTGCATTTGGTCCTTCGAGCCGGATCGAGAATTGAATCCACATCCGAAGAATAAGGTTTTTCTTTCTTTTCTCATCCCCGAATAAAGAATAGAGTTGACAATCGAAGAGAGAGATTGGACTTTATTTTACTTTACAATATGTTTTACCGGAATTGTTTAAAATTAAGTATTTAAAGTTCATAACAGCCTATGACAAAAAATTGCGTTCGCAGGTCCACGTCTTCGTATAGCTCCCATATAACGATACCTCCCTATATTCGGAACTTTTATGATTTTGGCGACATTATTCAACGGAATTGTTTCAAATTTCGTATTTGAAATTCGGAATTGGTTCTACATCCTATGACAAAAACAAATTACTTATGTAGACCACGACTTCGTATAGCCCCCATATAAGGGGTTTCATTTGAAAAGTATTTTTGACATTTTTCAAATTTCTCCAAAATGGTGGAGGGTAATAAATGTTCGACTCAGCCAAACTTAGCTGATTTTTCACTTGTTTTATTTCTATAGGATTTGTTCCATAGAATGTTTCCTTAATGACTGAGAATTTTTTGAATCTATTTTTATACCCTACACCGCATAGTGGCAAGGACATTATGTCTTTGTGCCTTTGTTTGTAACAAGGAGAAGGAAGCGAGATAGACCCATACTTACTTTTGACGATCTTCATAGAATCACTTTCTAAGTCGATTTATGCATGTCAGTACGTCCGCCCATGGATTCTTGTGAACAAAATGCAGGTCGCATTTATTATCCGATTAAGATTAAATTTTCCAAACAAGGGCGAACTCTATTGAAATTGGTGATAATTGGATCAGATTTAGATCGAGATCGGTTCAAAATAGGATGTAGTCCCGATTTATATTTTTATCCCATATCAGGTTTTTTGTGCACCAAATGGCTAAAATCAGCCCAAATGGACTGAATTTTGGCAATTATTCATCCTAGGAACCAGTACTACAACTTTTGTGTATATCGGTTCAGATGTAGCTATAGCTCCCATATATATGTTTTATCCGATTTGGGGTCTTAAGTCACTCACATGCGTAATGTGCGCTCCAAAAGAATGACATTTGGTACCAGATACTGCTCGAAAATACCTCTTCCAAATTCTATCGAGATCGTTTCAGAACAGGATATAGCTCCCATATATATTTTTATGCGATATCAGGTTTTTTGTGCACCAAATGGCTAAAATCTAACCAATTATTCATTATTATTATTCACCCTAGAAACCGGTACTTCAAATTTGGTGTAAATCGGTTCAGATAGCTCCCATATATATGTTTTATCCGATTTGGGATTTAAAGTTCCTCACAAGCGTAATATGCATCCCGCAACAATGATCTTTGGTACGAGATATGAGATACAGCTCTGAAATAAGCATTTCAAATTTTGTCAAGGTCGGTTCAGATTTGAATATAGCTCCCATAAATACATATCTTCAACCGATTTCGCGTTAATCGTGTACCAAATAGACAATATCCGTCCAAATGACCTGAATTTCGGCAATCCGCCCGAATTCAGTCTAGAAGCAAGTACATTAAATTTGGTGAAAATTGGTTCAGATATATGCTACAGCTTCTATATTTGTGTTTCATTCGATTTGGGATTTAAAGTCCCTCACAAGGGTAATATGCATTCCACAACAATGATCTTTGGTACCAAATATCTTATAGAGCTCAGAATTACCTTTGTCAAATTTTATCGAGATCGGCTCAGATTTGGATATAGCTCCCATATATATCCTTAATCCGATTTCAGCTTTATTGTGCAAATAATGACGAATATCAGCCTAAATGGCGTGAATTTTGGGACGTACGTTTCTATTTGGTGGAACTCGGCTCAGATATATATTTTTTAATACAACTCCTTTCCTTTCGAAGTGATATCATGCACTCTATACCAATATTTTTTTGTATAAAAAGTTAAAAATGTCTCCGTCAAATTTGGTGAAAATCGGTTCCCTCTGAATCCAAATTATAACTGCTCTAAAGTCAAAGGTTGATAGGTGATATGATATACTTCAAATAAATCCCCAATATAATTATTTTGTAACGAGAGCTCTACTTAGTATGCATACTGGTGTAGGGTATCATATAGTCGGCCAGGCCCGACTTTTGACTTTTCCTTGCTGGTTTTTTAGCATCGTTGTAAGTGTATTTTGTACTCTAGGCTTCGGAATTCGGGCCAATAGTGAGGCTTAAGGAAAATAACCGATTTTAAAACAGTGATCAAAGAGGATTTTGAGGAAAATGATTATATATTCACCAGCTCTCTTCAGAACGAAATTAATTTACTTACTGATAACATACGAAGAAAAACTCCCAATTATTTTCATTTTCGGATCTAGTCTGATAGCTTAAAGGCATCGCATTGATTGTTGATTGTTTAAAAATTGCAGGATTACAATGCATGGGTTGAATTTTCAATATAAAGCTAGGGCCACGGACAGACAGAAGATAAAAAATATCTACATCGCATTTTATGAGAGTTATAATTATTCAAAATGTGCATCCTTTGTGGGGGAGGATGTTGTAGTGGGCCATATGTCCACTTTTGCATCAGACTTATCGCCTTTATAAAATTTTTGGGGTTTTCAAAATTTGAATAAAATCGGATGATCCTTCCTTATTATTTTGTTAAATTATTTTCTCTAAAATGTTTGACCTTTTGTGTGAGTGGGCCGATATGACCGATCTCAGAACTCGATCTAAGTTTGATAAAAAATATTACGATGTACCAACTTTGGATGAAATCGGATACTCCCTTCGAGAGATGTCCCCTAGACCGACTTCAAATGTCCTTAAATCGATTTTTGAAAGAGACCTAGGGTCTAAAACCGTTATTTTGTCGAGGCATGTTTTTCTGAATCAAGTGATATATACCCTCTGCAGCCATATGGTTGATGGCATAAATTGAGTTTCAATCATTTAATTAAAAAAAATATTGCCAATAATTTAGAGAGGACCTTGGGAAAGTGTGCCAACTCTCAAAATATTACGCAATTATAATTCCTTTATAATATTATCATCAACATCGATAACCAAAAATAAATACGTAATGGGTTATTCAATCAGCGTATTTAAAGACCCAAATGTATCTATATTCACGTCAGATTCCGTATGGGTTATTTTAAACGCCAATAATTACAGACGTTTTTTCTCTCCAACTTTAATTGGAATTTATGGCCATAATTAAGCTAAGGTTTGTATTCGAGAAAGGTATCAATTGGACCATTGACTTACATATTGAATATCTGATGTTTGATGTTAAGATTATCAATAGGTTGGTAGGGAGATAAAAGAGAAGGGGAGAGGGAGATATATAAAAATTTAGATGATAACTTGCTGGTAAAAAGTAAAAAGTGACAGGTGTTACGAACACCCCCAAGTTAATCAAATAAAAATAAAACAAATTACCAAATTACGTCAACAAATATTT